AGAATATGAGGACTAAATTTCAAAATTAGTGGGCAATTTATGGGAATTTGAGTTGTGTGTAAGTTGGGAGAAATTAGACCAAAAAACAAACAAAGAATATGAGGAATAAATTGCAACATTAGTCGGAATTTGAGTTATGTGCAAGTTGGGAAAAATCATAAATAAACAAGAATATGAGGACTAAATTGCAAAATTAGTGGGCAATTTATGGGAATTTGAGTTGTGTGTAAGTTGGGAGAAATTAGAAAAAAAAACAAACAAAGAATATGAGGACTAAATTGCAACATTAGTGGGAATTGGAGATGTGTAAGTTGGAAAAAATTACAAATAAACAAGAATATGAGGACTAAATTGCAAAATCAGTGGGAGCTGGAATTGTGTAAGTTGGAAAAATAGAAACAAAAAAGAATATGAGTACTAAATTGCAAAATTAGTGGGAATTGGAGTTATATGTAAGTTGGGGAAAAATAGAAAACAAACAAGAATATGAGGACTAAACTGCAAAATTAGTGAGAGTTGGGGTTAGGGGTAATTTGGGAAAAATTAGTAATAACGAAAGAATACGAGGACTAAATTGTAAAATTAGTTAGAACCTCGACAAATGCCAGTTGATTCGGTCGCTGATTTCCCGCGAGATACCAAGCCGAACGATTTATTCTCCACTATATTTGAAACCCCCTTCTTCGGATTAAAACTCTCATTCTCTTTTTACAGATCTCTCTCTCTCTCTCTCTCTACCTGTTTTCTTATTGCATTTCATCTTCTCCATTCTGGTTTCCCTCATGAGCGAATCTCGGCGACAGCCGGTATTGTTTCTCGCTTAGTTGGATTTGTACCAGAATTCTCGTTTCTCTTGCTTCGATTCTCTATATTTAAGTGCATCTTTTGTCGGAAAGAGAATCATCGATCTCTCGTTCTTTTACACACTCAATACACTCATCATTTTCGTGAATCTCGACGGTATCTTCTTCTTCTTCTTCTTCCCAGCGATTTACTTACATTTTTGTATTTTTTGTTAATTAGTCACTGATTAGGTTCTGTTTAATTAATTTTAAAACTTCTAGAGAGATGGAGGAAGCAGGAGGAACAGGAATCAGGAGGAGAAGTTGCACTTGCTCAAAAGACGATTTTCTTCCTGAGGAATCCTTCAAGAGTTTTCAGAACTATGCTAGAGCGCTCAAGGAGACGCCTAAAAGATTGGCGGATCGGCTCATGACTCGATCCTTGGATACAACGGAGCTCCATGAAATCAAGGCACGGAGTGAGCACGAGATGAAGAAGAGTTTAACGTGGTGGGACCTCATGTGGTTTGGAATCGGCGCCGTAGTTGGCTCCGGCATCTTCGTGCTAACTGGTCTTGAATCACGCCAACACGCCGGACCGGCCGTTGTCCTGTCTTATGTTGTCTCTGGAATCTCTGCAATGCTCTCCGTTTTCTGCTACACTGAATTCGCCGTCGAGATCCCCGTTGCCGGTATTTTTTATTTCTATTCTAATCATCAGCGATTTGTTTTTTTATTATCGTATCAAATATATTAATTTGTTTTCTTGTCAGGCTAACCGCTAATATCATTCACTCAAATTAAATACCAAAATTTCAATTTAAAAACTAAATTATGCCTTAATTAATATTATTCCTTAGTTTTTTACGTGTGAAATTAAGGAAAATCACTCCTGATTAATTTTTTTGTTTTTTTACGTGTGAAAAACTAATATCATTTCTTACTTTTCTTAGTTTTTTCACTACAAATGAAATTAACATCGTTCCTTAGTTTTTTAGGTATGAAATTAAGAAAAATCACTGAGTATATTCCAAAAATACACCTAATGAATATGATAATTTTTTGTTAAATAAAGATTAACATGAACTTAATTATATTACCATACTTAATAGCATTTTGTGGAGTATATAATTATTTTTCATGAAATTCTGATTTTTTTTAAAAAAAATTACGTTAAATATAAATTTAAAATTTGAAAATTTTAGTTTATTTAAGAAACTTTTGATACCTAATAAAGGTCTTCGTTTGGATACGTGTAAGACCAGACGGCACACACTTGATCCGTGATTGTCATAGGAAATGTAGAAATGAGAAAACCATGTCTTCTTTTTTTTTTTTCTGGGAAAAGTAACAAAGCCACGTGTTGAGTTCAACGCCTTTTGATTATAGATTAGAAATTTTTTTAAAAATAATTATAATTATCAAAGAAATTGATATGCAGGCTAAAGATTTTTAAATATTTAGTTAGTATTTCCTATTAATATATAGCTCAAATTATTTATTTTGTTTTTAAAGAAACAAACGTAGGGCAGAATCTTTTGATGATAAAATGAAGAATCTTGCAGTTAGTCTGACATGCCTAGGGATTTTAAAGTTGACTTTTGACTTTTAGTGTGTGTGAAAGACGCATCCAGTATAGTTTGCATGCTTAGAGTATATACATGGCAGTATTTTATTGGGTTTTGTCTGTAGCTCTTGGTATGATTAGGACAGTATGATATTCAACTTTCATTTTGTCATCAGTCAAAAATAACTTTCTCATTTTCATACTTTGCCCAATGACTTTTGGTTTTGGAAAAGTACGACTTTTTATTTTGGAAAAATTGGTCAACGATTTGTTATTTTAACACTTTGAAAATTTTATAGTACTAATCGATGAAGATCCTTATCTTCGTGGCTGATATTTTATTTTTGTTAATAATTGGAGACACTAAAATAATATTTAGTATCACCACTATAGTATTAAGATTGTGATAAGATCATTATATTTTATTATTTTCATAAATAGAATATATAATTTACAAAATCTTGGTATTAATATATATAGTTAATATATGAACATGATATATATCATATTTATATGTTTACTTCATATAGATTTTAATTTTCATAAAATAATTTAAAAGAATTAAAATAGAAATAGTATTGTGATGCTATTGTTGAAAGAAATGAAAATAGGGAGAACATTAAGGAAAGAAATATAAATTATTATATGTAACTGTTATAAACAAAAGGAAAAAGCTAATGATCTTAGTGTAGTTATAATAAGAAAACTATTAATATTTTTTTTTATTGTTAATTTATTTAAATGACATGAAAATATTTGAATGAAAATCCTATCTGCTACAATTTTAATTTTTAATTTATTATAAATTACACATTATATATAATAAATTTTTAAAATTATAATCTGTATATAACATGAAAAAAATATCTAGTTATCATTTAACAGTAACTTCTCAAATAATATATACTTAATTATGGTTTTGATTGGATTTTAGGTAGCTTTATTGTTGGATACTAAGTTGATTAGAACCCTTTGCGTTTGTTTATAGGTGGATCATTCGCATACCTAAGGGTAGAGCTAGGTGACTTTGTGGCCTTCATTGCGGCAGGCAACATCCTCTTAGAGTACGTGGTGGGCGGAGCAGCCGTGTCACGGACATGGACATCATATTTCGCCACTCTTTGCAACCGCGACCCTGAAGCCTTTCGCATCATCGTCCCTAGCATGGGAGAAAACTATGGCCACCTTGATCCTATCGCGGTCCTTGTCTGTGCAATCATCTGCATCCTCGCTGTCCTCAGCACCAAGGGCTCCTCTCGTTTCAACTACGTCGCTTCCATTATTCATATGTTTGTCATTCTCTTTATTATCGTCGCTGGCTTTACAAAAGCCGATCCCAGTAACTACTCCGACTTTGCTCCCTTTGGTGCTCATGGTGTCTTCAAGGCCGCTGCTGTTCTATTTTTCGCTTATGTTGGCTTTGATGCTGTGTCAACCATGGCAGAAGAGACCAAGAACCCTGCTCGTGATATCCCTATTGGTCTTGTCGGCTCCATGGCGGTCACAACAGCGTTGTATTGCGTATTGTCTGTGGTGTTGTGCATGATGCAGAACTACAAAGAAGTTGACATTAACGCTCCCTACTCAGTTGCATTTTCTGCTGCCGGGTTAGATTGGGCCAAGTATATTGTTGCTGCCGGTGCACTAAAAGGCATGACCACAGTCCTTTTGGTGGCAGCCGTGGGTCAAGCCAGGTACCTAACCCACATTGCTCGCACCCACATGATGCCACCATGGTTCGCTCACGTCAGTCCAAAGACTGGTACCCCAGTTAATGCCACGGTCTTCATGCTTTCAGCTACTGCATTCATCGGCTTCTTTACAAAACTCGATATTCTTGCCAACCTCCTTTCCATATCCACACTTTTTATCTTCATGCTCGTCGCAGTCGCTCTTCTAGTCCGACGTTACTATGTCGCTGGCGTGACATCCTCAGCAGACCGCAACAAGTTCCTCATTTGCCTCCTCTTAATTCTTGGATCCTCAATAGCCGCTGCTATATGCTGGGCTGCAACTGAAACTGGCTGGATTGGATATTGCATTATACTGCCAATTTGGCTGTTAGGCACCCTGGGTCTTGTCCTAGTTGTCCCACAAGCAAGGCAACCCAAATTGTGGGGCGTCCCATTGGTGCCATGGCTGCCATCAGCTTCTATTGCCATCAATATATTCTTGCTAGGATCCATAGATAAAGCTTCCTTCGAGAGATTTGCCATCTGGACTGCTTTTCTATTGATTTACTATTTGTTGTTTGGGTTGCACGCATCTTACGACACTGCCAAGGAAATGGAAGAAAATAAGAGTGTTGTTGACGGATGCAAGAAGGTTGAAGAAGGTACTGCTCTTACTGGCTCTTCGTCTATACAAACATAATATGGTTCGTACATTCATGTCAAGAAACAACGCTTGATTAATCGTGTACATCATGTTTATTTCTCATGTTGTGTGCAGTTCCCTATTTACACTAGATTTTGAAGGGTTTATTAAGAGAAGAGTAGAGATTGTCGATTTCATCTTTTAAAAAAAATTAAAATTTCAAATTGAAGGTTTTACATTCCTGTTCAGATTTATGTTGCTTCCCACTAGAATATATTTATAGTCTGTGTTTGTAAAAATTCATGTTTATAAAGCTCGCAACCTCTCCAAATTTTTTCACTCCGCCACTTTCTCTCTGTTCCTTTCCGCCGCCGCCGCCGCCGCCTTTTTTTTTATTTATTTCCAATCGCCAGCATTCCACTTGGTACGTTTGCTAATGCTCATCGTCAATTTGGATTCTTCCTTTTACTGGATAATAATATTTTTTTTTTTCATAAATCACAAATTATTTTCATAATCCAAAATATTTATTATCTAAGTCCAATTTTCTAATGTTCAACTTCAATTACAATATCCTTTATAAAGTACAAATCAATAGTTTATTATTCAAGTATCTATCAATGCGTGTCCAATATATATAGAAGGATTCATGCATATCTAAGTGTTCAATATGTGTATATATATATATATATATATATATTCATTAATATCCAATGCAAGTCAAGGTTTCACAAAGTAGAAGCATATCCAAGTGTCCAAATATAACTTTAAAGAATTAAAATATATATATATATATATATATATATCCATCAAAATTTCATAAATATAAAATGTCCATCAACTATAAAACAATAATCAAAACTTCATACATATCAATTTTCTACACTTATTTTGTTGTCATCAACTAAAAATTAAAAAAAAAAATTATCAAATGCTCATCAAACATGAATCCATAAAGCTTAATATAATATTAATAGATCGAAATATATAAAATAGCACATAGAAATCACTCGTAAATTATCCGGACATAAACAGCACATACAGCATTTTTTTTTTTTTGCCCTTAAATCTAATGCCTAAAGTAATATTTCAATTAAAGTATTTTTACAAGAGATGAGAAATCACTTACAACTAGAAAAATCAAAATGGGTGGAGGTGGGACCGAATAGAGTAAGAAGATGAAGAAATAAAAGTCAATGAAGTTAAAATAAGGACAAATAATTAAATATGTATATATATATATAAGCTAGAAGTAAAACAAAAGAGAGAGAGAGAGAGTGTGTGTGTGTGTGTGGTGTGGGGGGATTGGGAACTTATGGGGATATTTGAAGAAAAAAGAACAATAAAAATAAAATGTATATATATATATATATGTGTGTGTGTGTGTGTGTGTATATATAATGAAAGAGATGGGTAGGAATAGATTTCACAAGCAGAAACACATTTGAAATTTATTGTGGCATGAAGTGGAGGGAAAAGAAAAAAAATTTGAATAAGTGTTTAGGGATAAACACAAAACATTTCAAAATAATATATATATATATATATATATAATCACTGCGAAAATCACGTATAATTAATTTCTTTTGATGTTTAGTTTGAAGAAAATTTAATACTTTTGTATTTGAGAAAAAAAATTAATCACATACTTTTTCATTATAAATATCTCACAGAATGATGGTTTTATTTAATAAGTTCAGATGCCATCTTATGCGAGTTAAATATTTTATCGTATATTTTTTCACATATTTTTTCGTATGAACATTAAACAAAATTACTTTATATTAATACGTTCAGTTGTAGTTCGTGTGATAAAAAATATTTTATCACATCTTTAGCCAAAATTTAGAGTTATATTTGTATTTGTATTAGAAAATTTAGAAAAATTTAGGGCGTAAATGAAAAAGAGAAATGAAAATATGGGGAATTTTGAAAATATGACAAAAATGAGAAAAAGGGGCATGATTGAAGAACAAAGAAAAGAAGAGTAGGCCAAAAAAGAAATAGGGAAAATATAAAAGATGAGCCGAAAACTATATATATATATATATATTTCAAAACCCAGCCCATTCTTTTTATTTTTCTTTTTCTTGGTTTCTTTTTTTTTTTCTTCCTTTTTTTGGGCCTGGCCAGTTCTGAAAAAGATAAAGAAAATAACTTTTTCTTGGTCAGCTTATCTATTTCTTTTTTCGTCCTAAAAAATTTATATATAAGACTGTAATATTTAACGAAATACAATCAATCAAAACAATTTTTAACGGATTAAAATTATTTTTGTCATAAAAGATTAATGAGTGTTTAATCTATTTCTCGTTTAGTATCAGATTTATATTAAATATATATTTTAATTAAAAAAATTATTAATAGTATACCGAAAATTATTTACGACGAATAACGAAATGTTAAAACGGGTCATATTTTGTCTTCCTCCCTCTTTACCATTTTATGAAAGAGTCTTCTTGTGGTTTTCATATAATTGAATGAAACCATTTAGAAAAGGTAATGCCTAATTAGTGAACTTCAAATGAAACAAAATGTTGTCGTTTTGATTAGGTTGATTGGTTTAATAATTATGCTTTTTATAATTTATTTGTGCTAACGATGTTTTGGTGGAAGGGAAGAAGGTGTGGAATAATTAATCAAGCAAATCATAATCATTGGATTGTCCTTTTTTATATATATAGATGCTACTATAATTATCATTATTATAATTACATTATTATCATTTATTTTTTTATTATTATCACTATTAATTTTTTGTTATTTGTATTAATAATATAAATTTTATACATCATTACTATAATTTCTTTTTTTTTCTTTCTCCCACTTTCTTACTCTCCTTACTATTATTATTATTATTATTACTAATAGTAGTGTAATAATTGGGTTTATAAAAAAAAATAATATATATATGTATAGAAGAGGGGGGAGCAGTGAGAAGGGACGGTTCAGATTAAGGGATGAGAATAGATGGTTTGGATGATTTAGCAGGTTGAGTATAAATAGGATGAAGAGAAAAAAAAAAGAGGGAGAAGAGAGGAGAAGAGGCAGTCGGTCGAGGAATTGAGAGAGAGCTGCAGAAGGAGGAGACGATTAAGGTGATTGAGTGAGTTGTGGCTGTGTTGAGGATGATGGAGGCAGAAAGTATTGTAAATTCGAATTTCAAACACTGAAATGACAATTTGTAGTTAAATTCTTACTTGAAAATGAATACTTGTGTATTGAACCCTAGACGAGAGAGTGGAGATTCAACCGAGAGGATAGGCAGCCGTAGAAGGAGGAATGGCTCGTCTAGGAAAGTCGATCAGGAAGTGAATCGAGAGGGGGAAGTTTGGTAGGAAAAAGTGTGAGGGAATCGTGTAGGAGGGATGATCGGGAGTACAAAGAAAAAAGCTGTATAAATCTATATCGGTGTATATATATATATATATCATAATGTCACCAGAGGGAGAGGGAATCCGAATAATGTAAGAATTGGGCAAGGAAATGTAAAAATGTGTAGGTGAATACAGGATAATCACCAAAGAGAGAGGAAACTTAGAGATCTCAAAAGTTAGGTTGGGAGTAGAGTAGTGAGTGACTGTAGGAGTGGTCTGAGAGGGACAATTGGGGAAGATGAGAGAGAGAGATACCAGTGAGAGGGAGTGGTCTGAGAGGGACAATTGGGTGAGATGAGAGAGAGAGAGAGATATACAGGTGAGAAAAAAATAGAAACAGTGAGTGAGGGCGTGGTGAAAACATACATTAGTGGTGTGTGTATGTGTACGTTATAGGATAAGAGTAATGAGTATGTGTATGAACTATGTTGATTGCACATGTGTGCGGACAGTAAAATGAGCTAGTTTCTGTGTTTGTTAGTTATGTATGCTTGTATGAACTATTCCGTGTGTCTGTTGAATATACATGCATGTA